CGTCGTGGCTGCGCCCTCTCCCCGTGGCTCTTGGGGTGGTTTTGCCTCTTCCGAGCACTCCCATGAGCTGAGCTGAGCTGCGTTACCTCAGAGCGTAACGTGAGCGCTGCTGCGGGGGTGAAAGTTGGGTGCAGATTCCTGATTTTCTTTCTTCTCGCTCAATTCAGGACTTCCCCATCCTGTGCCAGACATGCCTTGGAGAAAACCCCTACATTCGGATGGTATGTACGCGTCCGGCCGTGCAGCCCCTTCCTCGTGTTGGCCCTCGGACTGCTGGGTGTCGGGGACCGCAGTGAGGAGATGGCGAGGTGCACGCGCCCTCCTCCTCTGCTGGTTCTGCACAGCAGGTTCCAGCCGTTCTTGGGATATGGCGTCATGGTGTTAGGTATGCGATTTAGGAACAGATCAGTCAGAAAGGAGAGCAAGATGACATCGTCCAGTGTCTAGAGTGCAGGAAATACAAGAAAAGAAAGCTTTGGTGCTGGTAAATCCTGCGACACAGAGAACAGTGAGGTGCTGAAGCATTAGGTAGCACAGTTTCTGAAATGTGAGGAATATGCACCTGGAAAAAGAAGTTAAAACTGTCTGATGAAGGCTGCCCGACCCTAATTTGCATCCTGGTTTGTTCACACTCTGTGAGGGGTGAGTCGATTTTATGTCGCTCTCTGCGCTCAGTCCAGTTGTGTGTGCCCTACCTGTACACGATTTCCCCTGCACATTGCCATTCCACTGAGTTTGCTGAGAGAGACTGTGATATTTTTGTGAAACATAACCCCACTGTCAGTATAGGTGATATTGCAACAACTGCTTATTTTCATGGATTTGTTTTATGTAACATCATCTTTGCTTAAAAATTGCTATTAATGTTCGGTTTTAGTCTTGCTTTTCACCGGTATGTGAAATGGGACTTACAGTGCTGTGTTTTTAATGAATGTTTAGAGAACAAAAATGGACTCAAGAGTTTTTTAGAATTTTTTTTTTGTTCATCCTGTTGACCTGCCAAGGTGTAAGCCCAGCAGATGGGTGTGGGTGAGTCTGAATGCAGCATAAGTAGGAAAAAATGACTGTGCTATAACACCAATGATATGTTTTATGTTCAATTGATGATATTTCATATTTTCTTTTATGGTTTTTTATTGTATTTCAGACCAAAGAAAAATATGGAAAAGAATGCAAGGTATGTGTGTTGTCTTTTGAAGAAAGAACGTCTAAATTGGCGCACATCTAGGGTTAATACATTTTTGTGTTAAGAAACCTGTTGGCTTCAGAAAAGTGCTTATCTGGGTTAACAAAATGTTTCTGTAACTACATAGATTTTCAGGTCAATCTGCTGTGTGCTTTGTTAGACAAAGTCAGTTGGTCTTAAAATAGTAAAATTATTGAAGACTGTTCAGACAGATTTATTTTCCTCAGGTTTATCAGAATTAGGTTTTGTGAATATTGGTGTGCTATACTTGAAGGTATTTCAGCATTTGGAATGATCTCATATTTTCTCTTGCAAGTTTGGTTTTATTCCTAATTGGTGCACAAATAATTGGAGTTTAGGTTTTGCTGTGAATGCTATTCGTGGCTAGGTGGTGATTTGTGTTAGCTGTCTAAGAAATAAGCCATGTTTATTTCTGAGAGAGCAGGAAATATTATTGTTGTCTTGACTGAGGGAAGTAACAGATTTTTTTGCCCCTTTTGTCAATCGTCATCTGAGGTGGGGAGAAGGTATGTGCTGAAATCTCGCTTCCCTTCCTCACACCGTATGTGCAGCGGAAGCAGATGCATCATTCCACAGGGTACGGTAGAGAGCAGCAGTCGTCTTCTGGACCAGACGTCTCCCTGGGCTTGCTGCTGTGCTGGTGACCGCTTGGCCGTTTCTCTCTGATAGCTCTGTACTGACATCACCTGGAGCGAAGGGGAATTTCTTCTTCCTTTGAGTAGATCTGTTTGCAGCATTCGGGTTATTGTCATAAATCAAAAAGACAACAACAAGGAAAAAAACCTTCCTGACACTTTCTCCTGTCAAAGTAAGGCACCAAAGAGAAACAAATATTTCCTGAGGTCTGAATCTTAGCATTAAGATGAAGAAATTGAATTTACGGTTTAAAGAGATTAGATGTGTTTGGACTTTAAGTTTCTGTGCAAGAACCAGAATGGTGACTTCGTTGCTGTGTGGTAGCGATATGAGCGTCGACTTTCTGTCTTTCAGATTTGTGCCAGGCCTTTCACAGTATTCCGCTGGTGCCCTGGCGTTCGTATGCGTTTCAAGAAAACAGAAGTATGCCAGACGTGCAGCAAGCTGAAGAACGTCTGTCAAACCTGTCTGCTTGACCTGGAATATGGTGCGTACCGAAAAACGTAAACTAAGAGAAGAAGGTGGTCTGCTTGCCTCTGAAATGAAAGCTGGTGAAATGTCTTCACGTGTGTGCATGTAATTGGCACGGTTGTCTCTGGACAGTCTTTGATAATCCCGTCTCTCCGGAGGTTCAGGGGCAGCGTGGTGAACCTGAGCAGCGGAGGAGTTCTCTCTGGCTGATGCAGGGTGCAGTAACGATGTCTGCTCTTCCAGTTTGTGCTTCATATGGATTTGGTGGGGGTTTTTTTCTGTTTCGTTGTAGGTTTGCCTATTCAAGTCCGGGATGCAGGACTCTCCCTTAAGGATGAAATGCCGAAGTCTGACGTCAATAAAGAGTATTACACCCAAAACATGGAACGAGAGGTAGGAGAGTATAGTTATAATCGTGCTCTCTGTGTGTGGATGTGTGTAGGAGAGGAAAGGGGAGGAATGACCTAGCTATCTTAAAATCATTTGCTCGCTCTGATTCTGTGCATTAGTTTTCCGTGGTGATATACATATTTATTTGCGTTTCATCTACTGTTTA